ATCCATTTAATATTGTCATCCCTACTCCCGTCCTCCTTTCTCTGTTTTTCCCTTCCATGGCCACCACCTTACCTCCCCCCTCCTTACAGCCACTGCCCCGACCACCACCTTACCTCCCCTTCTCTCTTCGCTATCTAGCGTCACCTCCCTTCCCTTGCACGTAGCCAACCGCACTTCCACAACCTCACATGAAACCTTCCACTACCACCTCACCTCCCCTCAATTTCCGTCACCCAACCTAAAAACAACTAACTCACCATCACTGGAATCCCCTCAATAACCACCCTTGAAACCCCCTTGAAAAACAATGTCGGAACCAACCTCGATACCAAATAGTCTAAAAGAAGAAGGTGGTTTATAATGAATTCATCTTAATAGTTGTAGGAAGGTGGAGAAAATGGTGGTTTTTATACTTAAAAAATGGTGGTGAAGATAGAGATGTGTTGTCGGGGAAGAAACAGATCGAGGGAGGGGGTTTTAATTTTTGATAAAATTAAATTACAAATAATTAAAAGTAAATTTTGACTTTTAACACCACAAAAAAGCACGAAAATGTTTATTATTAACACTACAAAAAACAAAAGCTTTATTAAAACACCACAAACAAAAAAAAAAAAAAAAACCCAAAAAATTGAATTTTACCACTACATAACTTATTTTTGGATGGAATCTGTTAGTGGGGCCTACAATGTCCACGTGTCACTAATTATTGGTCCAAAAAAAGAAAAATATAAGTAAATCTAAAACTAACCCAGCCACCCCACCCCCACCACCAGATGCGCAACTGTTACTCTTGCCTCACCTCCGACACCCTTTTCCCAGCCAGCCACCAGATTCCACCCCATCCCTTTCCCTCACCCCAAAACTAACCCAGCCACCTTTTTCCCACACCCGTTTTGGTCGGCCATTTTACAAACCCCTAAAAACGGCCACCAAAAATGGCCATCAGCGGTCGAAATTGACCGGTTTAGGGCATGAGTGATTGATTTTAACCCTAAATCGGTCGATTTCCATAGCTAGTAGCCGTTTTCGAGGGCTTTGCAAAACGACTGGCTGTTTTAAGTTGGGGAAAGGGGTGGGTGGGTTAGTTTTAGGATGGGGGAAAGAAAGGGGGGTTGCTTCCAGTGGCTGGGATGGGATAGGTGTCGGAGGTGGGGCAAGGGCAACGGCTGCTGGGTAGTCGTGGTGGGGTGGCAGGGTTAGTTTTAGGGTTTTGTTTGTTTGTTTTTATTACACCAAAGTCACCAATAATTAATATGGTGACACGTGGACATGTATTGTGGGTCCCACTAACGGATTCTTGGATGAAATTTGTTAACTGGTAGTAAAATCCAATTTTTGAACTTGTTGTGATGTTAAAATAAAACTGGTTTTTTTTTATGATGTTTAAAAACAATTTCGTGTTTTTTTTTTTTTTTTTTTGTGTTGAAAGTCAAAATTTCTTAATTAAAATTATTTTTTTAAAAGGAAAATTTAAAACTTAAAATAAAATAAATCTTAATCACTCAAATAGTGACAAGTGTCACGTATCTATAACTATATACTACAGGCGAAGCCAGCAATGACACATGTTTTTTTTTTTTTTTTTTTTTTTTGCCCAAGCTTCTTAAAGAAGTATTTTATACTTACTACTCCATCTGTTTTATATTAAATGCAACACCTTTCATTTTCAGCCGTTTCATAATAATTGCAGCACTACTATTTTTTGGCAATGACCCACTATTATTTTATAATTTCTCTCTTCCACTAACCCCACTTTTACAAATATTTTATTATTTCTCTTTCCTACCAACCCCACTTATACTACTTTTTATTATTATTATTATTTTTTTCCTACCAACAATATTTTATATATTATAAAAAATCCACTTTGGGGCCCTACCCTAAATTTTCTTAAACTTTGTGAACATCTAGTGTTGCATTTAATATGAGATGGAGGGAGTATACAATAATATTTCTATTCCTATTTGGTAAGTATATTTATTGAGGGATTTATTTGTTAAAATCATTGATTAGGGAATTTATGAAATTATTTGATTTAGGAATTTACTTGATTGTTATAGAAAGTGATGGAGTAAATCATAAAATACGTTTATGAGGTAAATTGATCGGAGACATTATTAAAATAAACTAGCTTAGATCTCGTTAAAATTTACTTAAAACTTTGAAAAAAAAACTCAAATGAACAACTTCAAACCTTTTCCAGCGAGAAGAGGTTAGCACTAAGCGGAGTTAATTAGAAGCCCTTTGAGGAGCCTGGTTCCACTTCGACTTCACCGCTAGAACATGAGCAAAAGAAAACCTAATATAATTAAAATGGAAGGGGAAACGGTGCCAAACTCCGGTGAATTCTAGGCTTAGGGGGGGTAGCTTTAGAAGAGGAGATAATGTACTTTATATCTTTATGCTTTTTTAAAATAGAAGTTATGAACAATATTCACATTACTCAGTAAATTATAATATATTTGATTGAGGAGTTAATATTACATATTGTATTATATTCTTTAAAAGAGGTGCACTATCAATAAGGCTAATTTATGATTGTAACTTCATATATTTACTTTTTCTCAAAAGTTATTAAAGGGTTCATTATTAAATTAAACAAATTACAACATATTCATATTTTAGATTAAAAAAGAATAGCTTAAATTCGTATAAAATAGAAGCATATATAACAAAAAACATTGAATATTATTTTTAATTGTGCACCGATTTTATCCAAGGGTAGGAATATATATCCTAATGCAAAATGACCTTAGTATCTTTAAATTAATATTAAATGATAAAGTATGACCAAAGAAAGAATCAAAATATAATATCCAAGAAATCTTGGGCAATGATATTATTTTATGTTACCTTAATTAAGTTCATCATAATTTACAAATACATAATATAAAAATTGTAGAAGATAAGAAATAATAATGTTTTAAAAAGAAATATGTGCATAATTATATAAAATATTTTAGGGGTTACAGAATAGATTATTTTTTAGAAAAATTATTAAGAAAAAAAATTATAGAGGGAAAGATAACATGTATCACCTTTGGTCTCTCTTTTGGAATACAAAGGTTTTTTCAAATAGAGATATATATTTCATATATGCATATTTACAATAGCATTACACTCATTATTTCTTCATCTATCCTGTGATTTTATTCAATATATTCCTAATGGTTGGTATACTATATATGTTTAGCTTATGTCATTTCAAGTCATCTTGATGATTTTATAGTTATCATAAATTTTTATTAGCGTATTTAATTAATTATTTAATTTTAACAAACAACATTACTCATGTATCTCTATAAATTTTTCTTTTAGATGTTATCGGAGTAGTAACTTAAGTTTCTAAATTTGAAATCACATAAAGGAATGGCAAGATAAAGAAGGAGAATTGTAATTGATTTGGAGGATTTATTGTTTGATTGATTTATTTTCGGGTCAGATATTAAAATCAATGGTTTATACCCAGTGGCGGAGCTAGGATTTGTAATCCAGGGTGACAAATTTCAGATGTTTAATAAATTGACAAAAAATTCAAGAAAAAAAAATGATCACATAAATTGTTTAATATTTATTTAAAACTACATATGAGATATGACAATTATTATTATTATATAGCAAAAAAGGAGTTGTTAAAAGTTTCATTGCATATTAAGAAAATTATCGACCAAAAAATATAATTTTTTGTTTGTAAACCCCAATTCCTAGTTATGTAATCCCCAATAATCGATAAATACGATTTAGCATTTAAACTAATTGATAATAGATATGAAGGGATTTGGGTTACATCCGAAAAAAAAAAACACAACTTTCTTTGACTAATGAAATTATTACAATGTATTCTGTAAAAATAAATCTTGAAACTTAATTATTTCCAAACAATTAATAAAAATGAAAAAAAATAAATAAATTTAGGCACACATAATTAAAGTGATAAAAATCTTTCAAAAAAAAAATAATTAAAGAGATAAAAAAAACACGGAGATATGTATTCATTAAAAATAGTTGAATAACACATTAGTAATGAGAGTAGTTAGAGGTTTGAAGACTTATAATACTTTGTATATCTGAATTATATACTATAAAATGAAATCCAAAAATAGAGACTCGAACCTAAGAATAGTGAGAGAAACAAGCCTTATTCAAGGCCCAACAACCAACAGACCAAATTTTACCTTTGTTATATAAGTTGTATATGTAATCTATTTATTCTTGTAAATGCATCTGTTAAGCTAACGTAAATATTTTTTTTTTTAAATGGGGGGGACAGATGTTCCTATGTGACTTCGCCACTATTTATACCCTATTCCCTATTTAAGTCCTATTCTCTTTACCTTATTTTTTGTTGAACTAAAATTATTTTTTATTAATTAAACTCATTTTTACTAAATAAATTTTTTTTTTATTGAACTTTAAATAATTTTACTATTAAAAATATTTTTACTGAATATTAATGAAAGGTTAACTTAATGTAAGGTTAGTAAGGGTATGGATAACTTTTATTTAATGAATGGTTAACTTTTAGTAAGGTACAGGTAACTTTAATGAGTATAAGGGTAACTTTTATCATTATTTTTTTTAACAGCTAAATCGCGCCACACAATAACTTTATTGTAAACCTGATGCATACAAAACCTTTGTACATATTTATAAAATAACAATAAAATAACATTATATTTCATACCCTGTTGTGCTTGATTGGTTTGGAGTGTTGCTCCTAGTGGTGCGCTATTGTGTGGTGCGTGCAGCTGTGTGTTGCGTGTGGTGTGTGTTGTACGCTGGTGGCGTGTGGTGCGTATTGTGCGAGTCTTTGGTGTGCTGTAGGCTGCTGTGCGAGTGTGTGGCAGCGTGTGGTGTGTTGCGTAGTTGTTGTTGTTGTTGTTGTGCGTGCTGTGTGGTGCGCAAGTGTGTGTGGTGCTCTGTTGGGTGCTACCGAGTGTGTGTGGGGTGCATGTTTGGTATTCGTTTAGTGTGTTACGTGCTCGTGATTTGTTGCAATGGGTGAAGGCGATCCTTCTCCTCCACCTCCTAAGTACGAACTGTTCACAGACTATTATCTTCATCCGAGTGAAGGATCTCAGTTGGTGATTTGTCTTGTGTTGCTTACCGTCGACAACTATGAAGAGTGGTCAAGATCGATTCGCAACAATCTTCGTTCCAAGAGCAAGCTCGGGTTTGTTGATGGTTCTATTGTCAAGCCCGACTCTAAGCACTCGGATTACCGTCAATGGGGTATTATTAATTCTATTGTTGTTTCTTGGATTTATAATACTCTTGATGCTAGTATTCGTTCTATTGTTATTATTCTTGATGATGCTAAAACATTGTGGGATGATTCACTACTAGAAATAGGCCAATTTATGACGGACCAGTTCCGACGGACATGAAATCCGTCAGAACTTTCCGACGGAATTAAAATCTGTCGGAAATTTACGACGGAATTCCTACGGAACACAAATCCGTTGGAATTTATGGGTTTTCCGACGGAATATTCCATCAAAAACATAAACTTTCGACGGAAATGTAATCCATCGGAAATTTCCGACGGAATATTCCGTCGGAAATACCATATATTCCGACGGATTAAAATTTCGTCGGAATCTAATTTTTTTTTTAAAAAATGAAACCTTAATCCTCTTCACCGCTTCTTTCTTCTCCTTCCTTCCTTCTCTTTCTCTCTCCTCTCCTATTCTCTTCTCCTTCCTCACGCCTCTTTCCTCTTCTCCCTCCTCGTCCTCCTTCTCCCTCCCCTATCTCTTCTCTGTTCGCTCCTTCTCATCCAAACCGACACCAACTACAACAACAACTCCTTCACCCTCCACCACCGACCTCCTCTCGTTTTCCTTCTCACCCAAGAACCGCCACAACCGACACCACCAACAACAATTTCATCTCCCTCCTCGTCGTCCTTCTCACCCAAAACCACAAATACCGACCCTAATAACACAATAAATTTGCAAAAAACAAAGGTTTTCATGTCAAATTCGACCATGAAAACTCTAGATCTAGAGTTTTCATGGTTGAATTTGACCTTATAAACCCAATTTCGGCGGTTGTTTTGTCAAATGAAGGTATGTTTCACTTTTTTTTCCTTCTTTATTTTGATTTTAATTAAGTTGTTGATTTTTTTGATTTTTTAAAAATATATGTTGTTGGTGAATTATGGATTTTTTTATGTTTTTGGTGGTTGTTTTGGGTGGTGGGGTGGGTTTTGGTGGTGGTGAGGTGGGTTCGGTGGTTAGGTGGGTTGCGATTTGGTTGTGTACGGTAGTGGGTTTGGGTGTGGGTTGGTGGTGGTGTACGGTGGTGGGCTAGTGGGTTTGGGTGTGGGTGGTTTCGGTGGTGTTGCGTGGTTGAGGCTGGTAGGGGTGGTGCGTGAGGGTGGTTAGGGGGCAGGGGGCAGGTGCAGAGGGTGGTTAGGGGGCAGGGGGCAGGTGCAGAGGGAATGGGGTGGGCCTGTTCTGTTTTTTTTTTTTATTAACTTTTCCGACGGACTTTCCGGTACCGGAAAAACCTCTTCCGACGAAAAAATTCCGTCGGAATAGTGTTTTCCGACGGAATTTCCGACGAAAATGGCCGTTTTCCCGACGAAGTGATCTCCGACAACGCGTTCCGACGGAATTCCGTCGAAAACAGCCTTTTTCGACGGATTTATAGGGTGTACCGACGGAATTTTTCCGTTGTAAATAAGGTGTTTTCTAGTAGTTGATTTACGTGATCGTTATTCTCTTGGTAACGGTCCTCGTATTTTTGAACTTAAGCATGATATTGCTGATTGTAAGCAAAGGGGTCGTTCTGTTGCAGTTTATTATGGTGAATTGAATAAATTGCAGAATTTGTTGTCTAATTATGTGAAACTGCCTGCTTATACTTGTTCTGCTGCGAAAGAATATGCTAAGTTGCATGAAAATGACTTGTTGCATCTATTTTGTCTTGGTTTGGATCCTAAGAAGTTTGGTTTCGTTGTTTCTACTTTGTTGATGAGTGATCCTTTACCTATTATGAATGCTGCTTATGCTAAAGTTGTTGTTGATGAGTGTAAGCAATCTGTGTTTGAGGCACATGAGACCTCTTCTTCATTCTTCTACGACTGTCGGTTTTAATTCAACAGGTACGGTTTTCGGTCGAACATCTTAACAGAAGGAGTGTACTTATTGTAAAAAGTTTGGTCATGATAAGGACCATTGTAATGAGTTGCACGGATTTCCGGGTGGAGGTCGTGGTGTTCGGTCGTTTGGTAAGGGCAAGGGTGAGTTTGCTCGTGCTGTTGGTAGCTGTAGAGGTTCAAATGAGCAGGTTTCTGATTCTGATCGTGGGAGTGTTCCAACGTTCTTTGATGCTCAATGGAAGGAAATCATGGTTGCGGTAAAGGGTGCTAAGTCTGGCTCCTCGTCGGATAGTAACAAACTTGGTACGTATAATTCTATTGAGTGGCTCATTGAAACTAGAGCTTCCAATCATTTGTCTGGTAACATAGTTCTTTTCATTGATTTGTATGATGTTTCTTCGCCTGTTGGTTTACCCAATGGGAAGAGCACGACAGCTACAAAAGAAGGCAGAGTTTTTCTGTCTGATGGTTTAACTCTTGATAATGTTTTATATATTCCTGCTCTTAAATGCAACTTGTTATCTGTGTCTCAATTGTTAGAAAAATAATGCTATTTTATTATGTTCACTGTCAAGCTATGCATTATTCAGGACCACAGTTTGAAGAACCTGATTGGAGCGGGGGAGCAGTGTGATGGGGTCTATATTTTTCGTCCGGCTCGTGCTCGGAACCTTCAGGAGAACAAAGTGGTTGTTTCATATGCAAGTGTGTTATGGCATAGGCGTCTCGGGCATTCGTCAATGCAAGTTGTGAGCTCTCTTCCGGAAGTTTCTAGTAGTCATAGTACTCATAGTAGTAACTTCAATTGTTCTTTTGATTGTGACATTTGTTTTATGGGGAAGCAACCCCGAAACTCATTTTCGTTAAGTTTAAATAAAGCATCTAAAATTTTTGATTTAATTCATTGTGATATTTGGGGTCCAAATAAGATTGCTTCTAGTTGTGATGCTTGCTATTTCCTAACCATTGTTGATGATTTTTCTCGTGCTACTTGGTGTTTTTGATGGTTGGTAAATATGATGCTTTCACAGTTGATTTGTGAGTTTTGTGCTATGGCTAAGACTCAATTTGGCCGGAAAGTGAAAGTGATTCGTAGTGATAATGGCCAAGAGTTTCTCAGTTTGGGGTCTTTTACTAAGAAAGGTATTTTACATCAGACGTCGTGTGTTGACACGACTCAGCAGAATGGTCGGGTTGAACGCAAACATCGGCATATTTTAAATGTGGCTCGTGCTCCTCGATTTCAGGCTAAGTTGCCCAAGTATTTTTGAGGTGAATGTGTTATGACTGCGGTGCATCTCATTAATCGCACCCTACCCCGGTTCTTAGCGGAAAAACCCCACATGAGTGCTTGATTAGTCAAACACCTTCTTATGATGGTTTGCGGGTTTTGGTTGTCTTGTTTATGCTGCGCATCGTCCTCGGATTAAAGACAAGTTTGATTCTCGTTCCCGAAAGTGCATCTTTGTTGGTTACTCCCATTGGAAGAAAGGGTGGCGTCTTTATGATTTGGCTACTAATGAGTTTATTATTAGTCGTGATGTTCAGTTTTTCAAAGATAAGTTTTCGTATCTTGATTCTCTTCTCAATGAACGAAGATTATTATGGAAAAAATATTTTTCCAACCCACCGGTGTGGGATGACGATGCTGATGCTGATTTTTTGATGAATGGTGTGCAAATGGGGGCGCAACGTCTGAACCAGCAAGCTCCGCAGCCAGGCCATGGACCAGACTGCCCAGTAGAGTTCACAGTCCCCCATAATGAGCTCTGCAGCCCAGCCGCGGGAGAAAGCTCCCAGCCGCAGCCAGGCCGCGTACGACTCTGTCTAGTAGCATGCTAGCACGTCTAGCAGCACCCGAGGGCAGCCGCTAGCTGTTGTCTAGCCTGTGCTGGTGGCTGATCTCCCGGTCACGGTTTCGGTGAGTCCCGGTCAATTAGGTGCCGATGGTTTTTGCTCTAGTGTGGTTAGTGAGCAGCCTAGTGTTAATGAAAATATAAGTTTTGCGCCCTTAACTTTGAGGGGGATCGGAGTTCAACGAAAATGAAAAGTATTGGTCATGGACAACATGAAAAACGTCCTCCTTCGTGGCATCGACACTATTTTACGAACACTATTATCATTGAAAATATAGACCCCGCTCCATCAACTGTCGTCCCTCCTCAATCTCGTTCTTCAGGTAAACCTTTCCCTATAGCTTGTCCTGTTGAATATAATAGTTTTTCTATGAGATACTAGTGTTTTTGGGCGGCGATCACTAAGGGAAAGGAACCATCTTCGTTCAAAGAGGCAGTTAAAGATGTTGGTTAGCGTAAGGCGATGCAAGATGAGATTGACGCTTTAGAGCGTAATGGCACATGGACCGTTGAGGATCTTCCTCCCGGCAAGAAGGCGATTGGCAGTGGTTAGGTGTATAAAGTCAAGTATACTAACAAGTTGAAGGTGGAACGTCTCAAGGCACGTTTGGTTGTTCATGGCAATCAACAAGTTTCCGGTGTTGATTATAATGAGACGTGTGCTCCTGTTGCAAAGTTGGGTACGGTACGTCTTTTTCTAGCTGTTGCTGTGTCTTTGAATTGGGAGTTGCATCAGATGGATGTGCATAATGCTTTTCTTCATGGTGATTTGGATGAAGAAGTATATATGCAGTTTCCTCCAAGGTACGGCACACCGACACCTAGCAAAGTTTGTAGGTTGCGTAAGTCTTTATAAGGCTTGAAACAAGCCCCGAGGTAGTGGTTTTCGAAAATTTCTAGAACTCTGCGAGATTTTGGGTTTAAAAACTCATATGCTGATTACTCTCTGTTTAGCTATGTACAAGGCAATGTATCTTTGCATGTTCTTGTCTATGTCGATGATCTGATTATTGTAGGGTCCTCTCATGATGCAATTGTTCGGTTTAAGGCTTATTTGTGAAAATGCTTCTATATGAAGGATTTGGGTGTGCTTAAGTATTTCTTAGGCATTGAGGTTGCTCGTAGTTCGGAGGGTATCTTTCTTTCTCAGCGAAAGTACGCTTTGGATATATTGACTGAGACATGTATTTGGATTGTAAACCCATTGATACACCGATGGAGCGGAATCATTGACTTGCACATGCTTCGGGTGAGCCGTTTGCTCAACCAGACCAATACCGTCGGTTGGTTGGACGATTGGTTGGACCAATATCTTGTTTTCTTAGGTTGTTCGCCTGTTTCTTGGAAGACTAAGAAACAACCTACCGTATCTCGCTCTTTGGCCGAAGCCAAATATCGTTCTATGACCGTTCTATGACAGTTGCTACTTGTGAGTTAAAGTGGTTGAAAGCATTGTTGCTTTCTCTTGGAGTTATTCATTCGAAATCTATGCAGTTGTTTTGTGATAGTCAGTTGGCCTTGCATATTGCTAAAATCCGGTGTTTCATGATCGTATGAAGCATATTGAGGTAGATTGTCATTTTGTTCGTGATAAATTGTTAAAGGGTAATATTTCTACTTGTTATGTTTTGACGACTCATTAGTTGGCGGATATTCTTACGAAGGATCTTGGATGACAACAGTTTGGGTTTTTGTTGCACAAGTTGGACATTTACATGCTCCAACTTGAGGGGGAGTATTAGTCGGTTGGGTTTAAGTTAATATTTATATTTGTTAAGTTTTCTTTTAGGAGTTCTAGACAAGTTAGGTCTTCTTGTATTGTACTATATATATTGTCGTAAATATCAATACAAAGCTAAGTCGTTTTCTCCAATCTTTCTTGAGTTTAACAACTAATAAGGCCGTTGACGTATATATATAAAAACTTAAAAAAAAAAATTAATCCCACTAAACAATACTAGTATTTAATTTACCAAAAGAATTCCTATATTCCTTTAGTAGTGTAATACTGTAAGGCCCTATTCACTTCACCTTAAAATAATAATATTCAGTAAAATAATTTCAGTTCAGTAAAAATAATTTCAGTTAAATAAAAATAATTTTAGTTCAGCAAACATAATTTTAGTTCAGTAAAAATAATTTTAGTTAAGTAAAAATAAGTTCAGTTCAGCAAAAATAATTTCAGTTCAGTAAAAATAATTTCAGTTCAGTAAAAATCAGTAACTTTAAAGAAGAAATATAATAGAGAATCAGTAAAAATAATTTCAGTTCAACAAAATTAATTTCAGTTCAGTAAAAATAATTTAAATTCAGCAAATATAATTTCAATTCAGTAAAAATAATTTCAATTCAACAAAAATAAGGTAAAGTGGACGGGGCCTAATTCCCTAATACAATTAGTTCCTTAAAATTTACAAATTCATGTAGGTAGTATTTTTATATTTTTATTTAAGATTAAAGATAAACATTTTAAAAGGTTTACCAATCTACCCAGTCAACCAAAATTATAAGTTTATCAAAAATTGAGAAAGAAAAACCTCTTCTTCATCTTCCTAAACCATTTTCACCCCTTTTTTTTGAAACAAATTTTCACCCCATCTTTATCTCCTTTTATCAAAAAAAAAAAAAAATCAATGCAAATGCACCATCGTCCCATCTCCCAACTATGAGGGTAAAATTTAGTTATCCTTCCACTTCAATTGTATTCTCAATTTTGGAGCAACAATTAAAACTCTCAAATTAAGATATGCATGTTGAAGATCAAAGGTTTGGCTGCTTTTTTTTTTCCTCTCTGTAAATAATGGATTCTTAATATCTTGTTATTGATCAATAATAAATGTTACTGTAATAATCTTTTACCCCTTAGAGTAGTATCAGCTTAATTTTCTACTAATTGAATTTTATTAACTAAAATCTGAAGAGAAAGGCAATGTAATTGATGGAGAAGAAGATTGAAGAGTTTTGGTTTTCATCATTTTTGCATCGTCAGTGTAATGTTTGTCAAACAAGTACTCCGTATAGGATTATGTCAGTGAAAAAAAAATTATTATTATTATTATTATTATTATTATTATTATTATTATTATTATTATTATTATTATTATTATTATTATTATTATTATTATTATTATTATTATTATTATTATCTATCTATATATTAATTAACGATACTAAAACAGAGGACACTCTAGATAGAAGCTTCACGTGTCACCTCGATATTAAAAATTTGCCCTCTGTATATACTAGAATAATATTAATTGATCCTATATAATATTCTTTTCCAAAAAAAAATAAAATATAAATTTTATTAATCATACGTAAACAAATATTTTCATTATTTTCCTTAAACTTGATATTTACGCATGAGTTATTCTAAACTTCATTTACTTAAATAAATACTTACATATGTGAACTTGTATTTTTACATAAATATTTACACATGTGAACTTGTATTGAAAATATCAAGTTCACATGTGTCAACTTCAATACTATCGCATGAGTTATTCTAAACTTTATATTTATGTAAAATTCTTGACCCGTAAATATCACAAGTTGATATTTACATAAATAATCTAGATTGATCATAAGCTAGATTATTTAAAATATACTTACAGTCCTTTAAAATTTGACACATGTCGTTCTTACAATAAAAAAATTCCTGCCTAATTACAGAATACTATTTATGGTAATTTTAAAGTCTATTGCAATATATTAATATGCAATCTAAATGAACTTTTTAATTACTAATAATAATCAATAATCAATATCATTAAATACATTAAATAATATATAGGCTATCTTGTACTAAATTTGATAGTATAAACAATAGAAATATTTTATATCATATAAAATGATATCATTGATTTTAGTTAACAAAATAAGGCATTTGAGCTGTGTATAAAGTATAAAGCAAGATTATGAATAGTGATCTTATTAGATTAATACAGTAGTAGATAACGTATATGCTATCTTATATAACTAAATGTATGTATAACTAGATTAGTCTTGTGCGATGCATGATTTGAACAAATAAAATTTTTTAAATTTGTTTATTTTTTCATATTAAAATTAAAAATAAAAAAAACTCCCAAATAAATACATCAAATATTTTAAAAAAGAAAAATTATAGATCATATAAAAAGTGAATGATGCAATTAAAGGGGTAGTACTTGAGGAAGAAAACATAAATTATATATTATTGTTAGAGAGAATATAATCTTTTTCAAAAATTGATACTAATAATAATATATCTGATTGGAATTTTAATATAAAAAAAATAAAAATTATAAAATGATGACATTATTTATAGTTTTGGAGAAATTTTTTTTAATGACAATAAGATAACGTCAGCGGATGCTATTTTAGTATTAGTTATAGATTGTCAAAAAACACAAGAAAGTAGAATGTCATAAAGAATAATAAACAAAAGATATTTTTAAAAAAAAAATAATAAAATAAAAAGATATATGGGAAGGAAATAAGAGAATATTTAGGCATAGTATATGAATTTGTCAATATGTTTTACTTGATTTCAAAAAATCAAATAAATATGATTAAAATAGTGTAGTATTTCCTTATATCCATATTTTATTTTATATTATTCTATAATGTTGATCATTTAACAATATATCATTATGCAATAGATAAAATAATAATAATAATAATAATAATAATAATAATAATTTCATAACTTAGTAGCTCTAAGTCTACAAATTTACCCTCTAAGATCCCGTTCACTTCATTTTATTTTTGCTCAACTGAAATTATTTTTGCTGAACTTAAATTATTTTTACTGAACTAAAATTAATTTTACTAAATTGATATTATTTTTGCTGAACTGAAATTTGTACTGATTTTTGTTAGACATTTAGAGTGTATGTGGGGAGAGCCCTCTCCTATTTGAGGAGAGGCCGCGGCTGGGAAGCCACGGAAAGTCGCGCCCGCGGCCTTATGTGTTGCGCCCTCTCCAAGGGCGCGGCCAGGCATCTCTAGTAAGTTGAGGGTGAATCTCAATTCGCCCAGTCCGCGCCCACGGCATGGTTTGCCGTGCCCGCAGCCCTGGCAGTTGCGGTTTCGTTCGTTCTTTTAATTGCGAAATTAAAAGAAAGAATGGTAGAGTTCATTGGATTGCTCTGATTTTCTCTGTTATTCTCCACAATTTTACTCGAAGAAACTTGCAATCTCTTCATTTAATCTCTATCAATTTAGCCAAATTTTGTGAATTTGTCATTAATATTTCGATGCTTAGTGCAAAGAACGATTTGATGTCTTTTGTATCTCAAAGAGGATTTCCGGATTGAACCCAAGCACCGTTGTGGGGGAAATTAACCTCTTTAGGAAAGTGTATACACGCCTAAGACAGAGTATCAAGGTTTGAGACTCAAGTGGTCATTAATTTTCTCATGTTTATGTTTATTTTCAAGACTTGGAGTTGAGGCAAGTATAGAATTTTTCACATTAGTGTTTTTCTTTGTAATTTCTGAATTACATTGTTAGTTTGGTGTTTGGTTTGTAATACTTTGATCAGTATTTGGTTGTTGTATAATTTGATTGTAATTATTCATTGTTTAGGTTTTGTTCCCACAAACTAAAGTAATTCTTTGTTATTGAATTGCTGTAAAACCTAACAATTTTTTTGTTATATTTCTTCTTTAAAGTTACTATTTTTTACTAAACTGTAATTATTTTTACTGAACTGAACTTATTTTTAATGAACTGAAATTATTTTTATTCTAAAAATTATTTTTACTGAATATTATTTTTTCAAGGTGAAGTAAACAGGGTCTAATTCTACTTCTCCAAAAAAAAAACTTATTAATATCCGATTACAAAAAAAAAAAAAAAAAAGAGGTAATTACAAAAAAAAACTTAGCTACCCCACTATAACATCAAAATCCAAATTGAATTGTCACAATCAATTCAGCAAAATTAGGAAAAAATAAATAAACGTGGAACTGGAAAGCAACATAGAAATCATCACCCACAATCAAAAGGTGTTAATAAATATATAAATCAAATTTTATATTTGAAAAAAATGGATGTTTAAATTAATGGCAAAAATGAAAATCAAGTGGATTTAATCCAAAATTTAGTGGTTGGTTATGCATTTCTTCGACCACAATACTTGTGATAATGGTGATTTCCTAGCTACTTCCATATGCATGATAGAATTGAGGAAGGTAAATTTACTTGTGTGGTTCTCATAATTTCGGTGGAAGCTGAGTATGTTTTTGCTAAAGGTTTATCTTTGTCTTTAAACCAAGGATTTCATATTTATCTTGGGCGTAACTTAAATACCTGATTCAAAATTTTGTGACCACATTATAGGACGAAGAGTAAGTTTTATTATGTTGATAATAGTAGGGATGACAATGAGTCGAATCTGGGTCTGACAAGACCTAGACACGGGTTTTGGAGGCGAATCCAAAAATTCGACCCAAATCTAATGGGTATAAAAAAAATCAGACCTACATCCATTGAACTAGCGAGTCTCGAGTCTAAAACAGGTCCAAAATGGGTCTTATTATGATTTTCTTATAATCACTTATACCAAGTATTTTAAATAGATTATAACTTGCCTATTACTTGTGTGACTACACATATCAAAATAAACTTTCTATAAAAAAGATACATTAAAAAAATACTACTAAACATACAAAAAAATACTACTAAACATACGACAATCAACTTGGCGAGAGTAGGAGCTAGCCCTTAAAGATGAGGAGTGCTGAGAGATTGTTATATAAATTAAACCCGAGTGTATGGTATACTCACCCATGAGCATTTTTTTTTTCTCATTTTTGATGATTGTTTTTCATTTAATCATCAAATGAAGAGCAAAAACTAACTTTGGATTAGTTGGGTGCACGGTACACCCGAATGTATATAAAATATTTCAAGGAGTGTCGGCTATAGATTGGAGTTAGGTTCTTTAGGTTTTCCTTTCATCTGATTCAATTCCTTAAATTAGATAACTCATGACTTATGTGAGTTTTTTTTATAAAATAAATATCTACAGGTCGAATCTAGATCGGGTCTATATTTGAACTTTTCAGACCGGACCCATTGCACTGAGACCCAGATCCATTTAGGACCCAGACCCTAAAATATGGGTTAGGTTTAGGTCGACTCCTAAACCCAATCATTACCAACTCTAAGTAATATATGAGATATATGAATGGGCATGACTCGTATCAGTCATCTAATCTCAAAGGTTAAATATGTAAAGAACATAAAACCCTTTTATATCTTTGATTTTTTTTTTTTTATTCAACATTGAATAAAAATAATGATACGCGATATCATGATGTACATTATTGTGAATGAATAATCAAATAATGTAAAAAATATCACTATTAATTATGAATTAGGCTGAGAGTGAGGGATAACTCAGTTGGTAAGAGCTTTTCTCCCGGTACCAAGTGATCCTGGGATCGATTCTCATCCCCGCCCTAAGTGGCTCATATGAACCAAAAAAAAAATTATGCATTAGGCTAATTTTGATTTTGATTTTGTGAAACATAATATTTGAACTATCAAAGTTGTGCAATTGCACGGTACTGTACTAGTTGTTTCAACAAAAAATAAAAAAATTTAAACAGAGTCTGACCTAGTTATTAAAGATATAAACTGTGATTTTATTTTTCTAACTATATCCCTAATAATAGGGAATCTTAATCTACAAATTTATTTCATTCCACGTAATTTTTTTGAGGAATCATTCCATGTAATTAGGAAAGTTGTTATTTTTATTATTATTATTATTTTTTATTTAAAAAAACAAAAAAAATCCAAGTATACCGTCAAACTCACAAAATTTGCTGACTTGTACCTTTCCAAACTTATTCTACGAGTATAATGTTTTTTTTATAAAATTGTTTTCTTAAGAAAAATATGTGTGCAATTATTACTGTAATTAACATTATGGGTTTTTGTTAAGGATTTAATGTGTAGACGCTAATTATAGGCAAAGTCAAATATGCAGGATTTATGAAATTGAGGGCTGTGACTGAGTTGCCTCTTCAATTTTTTTTTCCAGCTGAGTCGAGAAGATTATCATTAATTTAAATCAAACAAGGGTTACGTTTTCGGCTTATTTGTATTGTAAGTACTCCATGTCTCCATATACATCAAATTTTATAGTTTTATGGTATTTTTTTTTCAATTTTTAAATTGATTTTGTTGAAGTTTGGGTTTGTTTATGGTTTTGCATTTTTAATTGTTAAGTCTGGTATGTTTTTTCTTTTGCTTTTTTATTTTATTTTATTTTTTATTTATTTTTTAAAATAATGATATCTTCCTAATTTGAATTTGTGTTTTGCATTTTTTCAATGTAATTTTGCAGAAATTTGTTAAAAGAAATGGTAAAATTGATAATTTATATAAAATGTGTTAACTTTTCATTTTTTTTTATTGGGTAATTTAAGCATGTAGAATAAGATCCTAATTTTTTTATACTTTATTTACTGATGCTTTATGCCTTGCATGTTTTACGGTTTGTTAAAGGGCTAATTACCCACATTTGCATTCTTAAAATGGCAGAATTGTGAGTTTAATTTCATGATGGATTTGTCGAATTCAATGCAAATTGTGTCAAGTCGAATCCAGGAGGTAGAACCTGAGCATGCCTCAAAGATTGTAGGATACTTGTTGTTACAAGACTTTGGTGATCAGGATATGATTCGCCTCGCGTTTAGCCCCGATAATGTAATTAGAGATGTGGCTAACAAAGTAAAACATATTCTTGGTTTGTTTTTGTCTAACCAACTGCTGCAGTGGCAGCAGCAACTGCAACAGTTGCAACAGCAGCAAATGTCGTTTGCTTCAGTGTCGTCTCCACTTAATAACCCCATTCAGTATTGCAATCCATATCAAGGTTTTCCTGATTTTCGGCCTTACTCAAACTCAAACATGCCATTGAGTGCTTCTTGGAATGTTCAGGTGGCCAATGGTCTTGAAGAACAGGTTCCGCGGTCCTTGAAATTCGAGGATGATTACTTAAAGCTGGGTAACTCATTAGATTCAGAGTTGCACAGCAATTATGGTTACCCTGATCAGCCTGGTTTTAGTGGATTTGCTACTGACAGAGCTACAAGAAGGTCACGGAGTTTGATTGAATTCCCCCCAAAAGTTTGCCATTACTTCAGCAAGGGGCTCTGCAAGCATGGTAACAACTGTAGGTTCTATCATGGTAATCCAATGACCCTTGAAAGTTTTTCTGAGTTGTTGGGTCTCGGATCAAACGATATTAGGTTTGGGAATGAGAATGGGAATGGGATTGATGATCATAATGTGTTCCCGGTAGGTTCACTTGAGAAACTTGAATTAGATCTGATTGAACTTCTGAGATCAAGAAATGGAAGCCCCATTTCAATTGCCACATTGCCAATACTGTATTATGACAAGTATGGCAGGACTCTTCAGGCTGAAGGTTATCTTACCGAGAGCCAAAGACACGGTAAGGCTGGCTACAGCCTTACTAGGCTTCTTGCTCGCTTGAGAAACAACATATGTCTCATTGACCGGTAAGGTTTAATATTATGTTCTGGTCTCAATGATCTATATTTCTCCTATTTTTCTTGTTCTCTTGATTGATTAGTGAGGTTTTATCATATGCTCTAGGCCTCATGGACAGCATTCGGTGATCTTGGCTGAAGATGCTCCAAGATACTCGGAGTATGCTAGTGATCGAAGTGAGAATGATGGAATTGTTCCAGGGTCTAGACAAATTTATCTCACTTTTCCTGCTGAAAGTGCATTCTCTGAGATTGATGTGTCCAACTACTTCAAGTAAGAGATTGTTGAAGTTTACATTGGAAATTGCTATTCATGATTGGAAATTCTTGAAAACTGATCTTGTTACTGTATTATGTGCTGCAGCACCTACGGCCCTGTCCAGGATGTTAGGATTCCAAGTCAAGAGAGAAGGATGTTTGGATTTGTTACCTTTGTTTACCCAGAAACAGTTCGGAAAATCTTGGCCAAGGGGAACCCGCATTTTGTTTGTGGTGCTCGTGTTCTTGTGAAACCATACAGGGAAAAGTCAAGGCTTGTTGACAGGTAGTGTGCTTTAGTGTTCTTCATTGGTAGTTTATTTTGATCTATGACAGTTTCTGTCCCTAATAATAGACCACATTATTCTTGTAAATCATCTAAACCTATTTAATCATTGATTAAAAATCCTTGAAAAGTGTTGTCTATTATTATGTATGGACGTATTATCAATTGATTTAGCTCTTATATATATCTCTGATAACGCGATAATTAAGTGATCACTCATAATCATCTGTCAATGTCAATAACATAATTTTGCTCATAAGATACAATCATATAAGTAAAAGCTTTATACTTTCTCATCAAAAAATATCTCAGGACTCAGCAGGCATTGATTGACACAAAAATTGTAGCTTTTCCATTTTGAAATTGATATTTAAGGAGGACTTTTATTAAGTTTCCAATTGTTGTTCTGCACTAATTGAGTATGACATATATGTACAACATACATAGAAGGGATATTTTCTCCCTATTCCACATAGGACTCCCTAAAGTTAGTGGAAATCTGATATTGATAAAGAAAAAGTTGGTATGTCTTAGAACAACCACATCCTAGTATTAATCGCATCAAGATGAAGTTTGGTGTGATTTAGATGTACACGCTCTTACCCCTAAAAGTCACTACTGTTTGGACATTAGTTTTAATTTAATCTTAGGTATTTAGCAAAATGAGTACTATAGTATAAAATTTCAGATCATGCAAAAAAGATAAATAAAACTGTGCTGTTTGGATCTTTTGATTTATATTCGTCGTATATATTTTTCAAATGTTTGTCTGTCTTATTTTCCAAATTTGTAGGAATCATGCAGAGAAGCTACAATGCTCTATGCACGACTCACATCTTTCTGATGGAGACCTTGAATTCCAATCTCGTGAGTACAATGTCATTATGAATAATCGCGTAATTGCCTCAGTTTGTTCTGACATTTTTTCTCTATTTGGCAGTGTCAAGAGCCAGTTATTTAAGGTTAATGAGGCAGCAATTCATGGAAGAACACAAGGAGGCACTTGAACAGGAGAAGACTTGCCTTTCTGAATCACAATTACTGCCTGAACCATCAGCGCGACTCCAATACTTTACCAACTCTATTGATGAGTTGAAGCTTGCTCAAGGTTTATATATACTCTTACCAAATCCATCTTAGCCATCATCTGTTTTGGGTCAGTGCGTAATTTTGTTGCCATTATCATCGAACTAAGTTGTTGATGTTGAAAATGCAGAGTTTCCAACTTTGGAGCAATTTAACTCCAGGTTAAACGATCTGAACATTGGCTTTTCCGGTGAGGACAACTTCACGAATGTGTGCACTAATTATGACAGCGGAGAAAGGTACAAACTTATGCAATGCACTCAACTGTCAAATGTTGTAGCACTATTAATCAAAGACATTTCTCAGAACAAGTGCCAGTTCTGTACTCTAACAGGACGTTTTTGCACTAATCATGTTAAATTTGAATACCGGCATAACTTAAATAACTCACAATTGCTAAATATGTGACATTCGCATTATAACTGGTGTTTTGTTTGGACTCCATGCAGCAACCAAGTGCTTAACCTCCCAGATAGCCCGTTTGCAACTTCAACGGCTTACGACACATCAACAGGAAGATAGAAGTCATACAAGTACAAGGTTTGTTTGTCAAAAGTGTGGATAAATAATAGGTCGGTAAGTTTCTAATTTTTCAAGACTTAGCGCCAATTGAGTGGCTTGCTCCCTAAGAAATGCATCAAAATTTTAATTGGTGCAATAGATGCTAATACTAACTGATACATGGATTCGCTACTTGAGGATCGGAGGGGAGTACTTCAGAGTAGATTCATACAGAAATTGTCATACATCATATAAAATGAAAGGTTACATTACAGAGTTTAATTGCTTATAGAACATTTCTTCATGTAGAATCTTTACCTTGTTGAATGAAATATGAAGCAAGTTTCTTTAGTATACAAATATTATGTTATATGGTTTATAGTATGTTTGTTTTGCATGCTACCATCTTAGTATTATAAATACATGTGTTACTTAGCTATTTTCTATTGCTCATTTCATTCTACCATACCAATGCAACTTTGAATTTCTCAATCAATCGGTCATTCTAGTGTACCTTACCATTTCAAATTATATTATCTGAACTTATTTAAACTTTATAAATTACGGTAGCAAAATGTGTATGTATTTAAACTTAATAAATTACGGTAGCAAAACTTGTTTGTAAACTTAACATTTTTTATTTGAACTTATTATCTGTGGACTTGGGACAAGTTTGTTGAGAACTAGGGACCGACCAATACCATGAACTGATTATCTTATTAGCACAATCTTGTTGTTTCTTTCCTAAACTCCTGATATCGTCTCTGGCTTCTCAAAGAATACAGTTCACAAAATTGATAAAGAGCATTTTATATAAAATTTAATCAATTTTGATAGTACAACTGTGAAAATCTATCAACGGACCACATATTTGAACTTATAAAATTGCTATTTCAGTAAGATATACTACGTAGAATATCCTGTGGACCACATCTCGAAGCGCGATTAGAGCATGTAATTAGTGTTAATTATTGTTATCTAGGGGATCATTGCATCAAACTCACATGCAGTTGGCATTTTATTTTTTTTGACATTGTTATCTTAATCATCAATAGATGAAAGATGAGATCATAATTTTGATCTACTAATGTTGTTGATGTACAGTACTAATTATTTTATTATCAAGTGGAAAAAAGATTATTGATTATTATTTGCATGTTATTATACGGAATTGTGTGGACTTCATGCAGATAAAACTATAAAAGTGGTCCCAAATAAGATTGAAGCCTTGAATATTATTTATTCATTAAAAATTATTTTTTGAAGAATTAATTCCTACATGTTTAAGGATTCTAAAGCAAGTGTTTATCAAGTTGAACGGCTAATCTGTCAGAGTTTGCTAACAGTAAATCCTTTGAAGCGTCTAGTTGTTTCTTTTGCGTGGTTAAACATTTGCAAGTTTGTATCCTTAATAATTCCGAAAATGTCTCCCAATATAGTTAAATACAAGTATCTCCTAAACAACTTCTTTCTAGATTTCCTCGTTCATATTCTTTTTTAGATTATTTAATCAATTATTAATTATGACTTAAATAGCGTAGTACAATTTATAAATTACAAATTTTTATATGTGGCTGGTCATACCGTATGGTCGGGATTACTCGAGTAACTCGGTAAGGGGTTACTCAAGTTACTCGGTCATTAGTTACTTGAAGGGTTTGGTCAGGGGTTACTCGGTCAGGGGTTAGCCGAGTTACTCGGTCAGGGGTTACTTGAGGGGTTTGATTAGAGGTTATTCGAGGGGTTACTCGGTCAAGGGTTACTTGAAGGGTTATTTGGTCAGGGGTTACTTGAGGGGTTCGGTTAGAGGTTACTTGAGGGGTTAAAGAAGGTGGTAATAATATTTTTTTTTTTTTGTCAACATTTTTCAAAAATAAAAGAAAAAGTCGACTCCATCAACGGTTAACATTAGTCAATAAAAATGAACGACTGTGATTAGATTTAATACAATAGCCACAATTTTATTGTAGTCATTTGAAAAACTGTCCTAAAAACTACTCCTTAGAATTTATAAAAGTTATTCTGCTTTTGAAAGACATATTTTGATACTCGAAATCATTAATCATTTTTGATTTCTTATACTTTTGTCAAGCAAAACATGAACCAATATCAATATGGTATGATGATGTCACCCTCATAGCCATATAATAAGCCTCTACGCAAATTATTTATTAAACATTTGGAGTATATTGATCTTACAAAATTGTCAAGCTGTAACAAAAAATAAAAGAAAACCATCAATTAAAAGTTAAAACATGCTCATAAGTTGATTCACAAATGCACCATAAAGTGACTACATACATTAGCCATCAAATATGCGTGAGTTGATGAAATGGAAATGAATGAACAATTGGCTAAAAACTAGACAAGTTAGGAGCACTTAGGTTCAATAAAAGCCCACGTGGAAGCCCAAAGTGCCGAAAGATAGGAAAGTAGGACCCAATTAACCCAAGAATTTAGGAGTTGTTGGCTACTGTTCAGTTTGCAACAAAGCAATAACTAATGTACTTATGTGGATCAATAAGACAATATACTTTTCCAAATAGATTATTTTTGTAAAGGTATTACAGCCCACTATCGACTAATAAATCATTCAAAACACGTAATTATGATTCCCGAAACTTGAAAATGGGTATAACCGGTTGTATCTTACGTATGGCATAACTAAAAGCCTAACTTATCATTGTAATTATTGTTAGTTGTTACTATTATTTTTTTGTTAGGGTTGTGATTGCATAGCGGAAACAAATTAAAGACGTGAAGATTATAAGCAAACAAAATAATAGATGAAATAGACGCACAATATATAACGCGGGAAAAATACTCAATAAATGCAAAATATTCACGAAAGACAAGCACCCGAAAATAATCCACTACATTAAAATTTATAGGTGAGTACCAAAAAGAATGTTTAAAAAGGAATAGTTGATTCGTAGTAGAGACGATGGATGGTATACAAGGAGGGTTAATGGATAGAAAGACTTGTGTATAGGTATGCATGGCTTCTTGTGTGCATATTTCTTGTGTACATATTTTGATTGAATGTCCATCACCAATATTTATGGTTTAAGATGGAGGTTGAAAGGAATGGTTAGAATATTTCAAAATTCCCTTCATCATTCTTGTGTAGCAATAATATTCAGGAATTTTCACGAACCATATCTTCTAGTTGCTCTCTAGAACGTTCAAGAAGCTTGGCAGCTTGCATAATACAAGCTAAGCTACTAAAAAAATTTAGAGAAATCATGAGCAAAGACTGACCTTGATTGATTTTTTCGAAAGATTCTAGAACACGCATAAACACTTCACTAATACAATGGACCTATTAAATTTTGGACCACATGCACCAACATTTTTATTACTACTTGATATGATTTGCGAAGTATTTAGAATTAATTAGGTGAATATTTCCCGAACAAAGATCAATCAAAGAGTTCAGAAATATAAATCTTATTATTACATCCCATTAAGCAAGGTGATCGTATATTTTACAAAGGCTTCTTAATAAATCATTTTCGTAGATCATATATATGCCTCCACCACTTACACTCTACAAGTCTACAATACTATACAATCTCACTCTCATGTATATCATCCGCTATCAAGATTTTCTCATTTTGATGTCTTAAAACACCAATGAAATGCTCAAAATTGAGTTATGTGTGGTTATCTACATTTGAATTTGAATTTGGGCTAAGACAAGTTGCATTGTTCTTTTGCTCGCTCCATGTTTGATTAAGATATTATTTCCTTGATTATATCCTCATCATTGTTGACTTGGATTTAGACAATATGAGTTATCTTCTAATAATTAGTAGTACGTTTAAGATATTTTATGAATTATAGTACTAGTTCCGTTTAACATCTTGGAACTTCTTACATGTTCATACCTCTACTCAACCTTTTCGCTCTCCCATCATCTAAAATTTTTTGCACTTACGATGAAAATGTTCTTATATGCTAGTCGCCTGTGTATTTTCAAATCAAATTCTAATGTCAATCTATGTCTCAATAGCGGTGTTTTCCTCAAGATGAGAGTCTCGTGATTGTACTTTACTTTAAGAAGGTTTTGTTGTAACCTATGATATGGCCATTGGCCAAAGGTAGGTTCTTTGTGTTTGTTGCATGTTTGTACTTTGTATGAATTGTATGGCCTTATTGTATAAAATAAATAAACATTTTTCTGGCCCTTCTCAACTTATAAAGCTAGCAATAACAATTTAGTAAGAAATGACGTTCATGCGCCTAATTGAATAGCCATTTCAGTCAAACATAAGAAGCAGTACTACTTTATTCCATACAATCAATTCCATTAATTCATAGCAAGCCAAAATAGTTGTTTGGTTGGTTGGTTTCTCACATAAACTATCACTTGCATTGTAGCATACTTGCATACGGTCACTATGAATGAATAATTATGCAATTTTTTTTCATCAAACTAGTTAGATTTACTGGTTTCAAAAAAAAAAAAAAAAAAAAAGGTGTGAATCTAAATAGTTTTTTTCTTGCTAGATCGTGCCCTGCGGACTGTGTTGAACTTGTGCGTTTTGATCTGTTTCCGGATGGCATTCAAAAGCTAGCGGAAATGGATGTTAGTTAATATATTTCCCTTCTCGTGTTCAAAAAAACTAGTTTTTTTTTTTTTTTTTTTTTTCATGCGAACCAAACAAACACTTATTTTCTCGAAAATCTATCTTATTATTTAAAACATAAAACATAGTTTTCACAAAATTTCAAATTTATGTAAAAAATGTCTATTAATTCATAAAAGCTACTCTAATTGATTTCAAAACTATTAATATAATCGATAATTGTCGGAGTAAGGACAAGGCAAAATGCTTGAAAAGTCAAAATATATGATAACTTTGGCAGTTGTCATTTTATTGTTTGGAACTTCGATATATAGCTAGGCAAAAGTTTGAAAATTAATACGTAATTTAATTTATCACTTCTTTCTTATCTTAGCTTCTTGGATGAAATTACTAACTAGATTAAATGAAATTATAAAATTGGTAAATTGCCGCATAATTTAGGTACACAAGTGCACCCTACGCGTAACTATCTATGGGAATGTAATGTGTGAATGTTTTTCTTGGCCTTGTTGGGATTAGGACATTACATTTTTCTTGTTGTGGTGAGTTGAGACATTGTGTTGGCTTTAATTTGCGACTTATGAATTTGTTTCATAAATAATAATGTAAAAGAAATAATCATAGGGAAAGTGTATGTTAATGTCTTAATGACAATCGGTTCGATATGCATGTACGGTTTTGTCTAAGATAAATTCTGTTTACGACAATATCTTTTACGATTCTATATAGTATAGTTAAATATAATTAATATT